GAAAAGTCATGGAATTTTAAAATGCAATTTCCAGGCCCTGGAAAAGTTATGGAAAATAATATTTTTTCAGAAGTTTTGGAAAAGTCTTGGAAATATATCTGAAGTTTCATCAATTAATCCAAACAAAATCGATGTGTGAAGAGGCAAAAATCGGTGCCTGGAATTGGGCCTGGAGGCTCCCGACCTTGTCCTCAGCGTTGCTTCTCAGTTGTCCTCTGATGTCAATCTACTACCTTGGGTTCATCTAAGTAACACTCAAAGAAACACTGGAGACAGGCAGAGTCCGATGCAATCGAGTTTAATGTGTTCACAAGCTTCAAAACATACAACTCATGAGTCAAGCCCCGGAGCCGGACTGAAAACTCGCTCTCAGTGCGTCTGCTTTTATGCTGGTGGAGACTGGGTAGTTTTGTCTCTTAATCAACTTATGCAGTATAACACTTTTACTTGATTAGGGATTAACTATTACACTACATGTGTCGTAATAAAATGTAAATTGCCACGGACCGTCATGATATTTTGGTGGTGTGAAAAGTTTATTCAGTCTGGCTCAGTCTGTGTTACTGGGCATGCGGCGTGCACGCGCCTAGTAACTGCAGGCACGCCCACTAACCTGGAGTTGCTTCCACTAGCAAACGGACGATGCCGACAAAATGCCAGGGACGTGCAGCTTCAATAATACATGGCTTTTTAAGGATAAATACCAATTATGGCTGGCAAAAGACACTGACCCAAGACGTGCTAAATGCAAACTGTGCTTTAAAACATTTGACATTTCGAATATGGGCGAGGCAGCGCTCGTTAGCCACTTGAAAGGGAAAAACCACGAGACTGTAGCCGCAGTTGCTAACTCAGCAGCGCAATACCCATAGGTGAGTTTATGAACGCTGATGCTGTGAGGACGTCCAGCAACACTACTACAGTTTCCACAGCAACAAAGCAGACAACTTTGGACGTTTCTGTAAAAAATGTCCTCAAAGTGGAGATACTGTGGGCACTAAAAATCATGAATTCACACTACTCATTCAAGTTAGACTCACAAGTCAGTCTTTAGACGCTTTGCTTAAATAAAGACTGATGACTTTCTCCCTGATTTTGTGTTTAGATGGGCGGATACAATTTCAGAGTTTAAAAAAACTCCCTACGTTGCAGAACCAATAGTAAATCTGCAGGGCGGTCCTTCGGTGGCTCGCTGAACTCTTGTGCTCATAAACATAGTCCCACTAGAAACACGTGTAGCGGTACAAAATGGCTCAGCGTGCTCACAGAAAACGCCGTCTAAGTTAGTGGATGTTTGTCGCGTTTGCGGCGACACATTCTCACCAACTAAAAGAAACAAACATAATCTTTTACAAGGCCATGACTCATCCGTCCGGCCGGACTATAACGTTAGAGGGATTTGCCTTGTTGTTTACAAATACTTCCGGGTAGAAAACCAGCAGAGCTTTTAGCTATATATATATATATATATATATATATACAGTACAGACCAAAAGTTTGGACACACCTTCTCATTCAATGCGTTTTCTTTATTTTCATGACTATTTACATTGTAGATTCTCACTGAAGGCATCAAAACTATGAATGAACACATGTGGAGTTATGTACTTAACAAAAAAAGGTGAAATAACTGAAAACATGTTTTATATTCTAGTTTCTTCAAAATAGCCACCCTTTGCTCTGATTACTGCTTTGCACACTCTTGGCATTCTCTCCATGAGCTTCAAGAGGTAGTCACCTGAAATGGTTT